CCTAAACCCTAAACCCTAAACCCTAAACCCTAAACCCTAAACCCTAAACCCTAAACCCTAAACCCTAAACCCTAAACCCTAAACCCTAAACCCTAAACCCTAAACCCTAAACCCTAAACCCTAAACCCTAAACCCTAAACCCTAAACCCTAAACCCTAAACCCTAAACCCTAGGCCTAACCCTAAACCCTAGGCCTAGGCCCTAAACCCTAGGCCTAAACCCTAGGCCTGGGCCTAAACCCTAGGCCCCTAGGCCTGGGCCTAAACCCTAAACCCTAGGCCCTAAACCCTAAACCCTAGGCCTAAACCCCTAAACCCTAAACCCTAAACCCTAAACCCTAAACCCTAAACCCTAAACCCTAAACCCTAAACCCTAAACCCTAAACCCTAAACCCTAAATTTTTAATTACGACCACAGGTCGACAGCGCGAGGGTGACGCGCCGTCCTTTACCATCGACTATCCCCCCTGTTAGCCAAGAGGTGTTAGAGCGTATCGAAACAGAGTTTGTTTGTTCTTTATCAGTACGACCGGATGCCACTGAGACCGGCACGAGCAGCGATGCTCCAGGCTTGTGCAGGGGCGAAGCGACCAATCAAACGATTACGAGACGGCGACACGTGTCCACCAAAACATTCAAGCACCTGGTTCGGTAAATTTTCACCCAATGGAAATACAGTAGGGTCGTAACCGAAACTATGCACCTCCACGTGACAAAGATGCTGGTGGGGTGCGCATACCATCACGATAGGTAAATTGCAGACGTACTATGACGTGAAGATGGCACAAATACTACAGGAACGCCAGGTAAAACAAGCATAACAAGATGGAAGGACAACCGCAGATGTAACGGAACACCCTTTGTCTGGGTGCCACGAAACTTCACGTACACTAGTACGTGCAGAGGAAGCCAATCTACTTAAACGTCTCGGTCAAGTAAAGGCAAAAAGAGAACCGTATTTAATATAGTGGAGCTATCAAAACAAATTTAATCTTCATCTATATATATTGAACTACGTTGACGTATGACGACAACCTGCTCACCACTCATTGCGCGCGTCTGGCAGCGATTGATGGCAATCTATGGTTAATATGTCTTTTATCAACCAATCTTGGAGCAGCGCATGAATGTCATCTAAAAGGGATACTATTCCTTCAATGTTATCGATCTCGGATAATATTGGTAGAATATTTCCAGGCTAGACAATATCTTTATTGACACCGTTTAGTGTCAATTTCATGTAACGGGCTACCCCGTTTAGAGCAAATCTCAATATGAGGACCCCAAATGTCCAAAAGTCCCAAAACCAGGACCATAGTTTTTTTAAGTCTAAATTCATCTATTTTATACCTGGGTTGAGTATGCAAACTAGCATAGTGTTAGCCACATTATACTCAACTGCAACATGGGATAAGAAACTGCCTGATCACTAATGAGTCTTTCCATTTTTTAGGCAACTGTCGCGAGTGGTCGAAAAACGCTCTATTTTTACCAACGGTTCATTCAATTCTCAAGTTTAGCCCACGAGCCGATGTGCCCATTTTGGGTTGGGCACTTTGCGTGCGAGTCAGGGCCCGGTCGCACGTACCCGACGAGCTCGTGACCGGGGGACTCCGTTGTTATATCACCTCTCATGAGCAGCGGTAGGAGGTAATCATGCTGTTGATGTTGACTGTGCTGTCTAACGATCGTATGCTTTGTCTGTGTGTATTTGTTGCAGTGCGTTTCAAGTGGTGTCAAGTGGTTTCGAGTGGTATTAAGTCGTGACGAGTGATGTCGAGTGATGTCGAGTGATGTCAAGTGGTGTCGAGTGATGTCGAGTGATGTCAAGTGATGTCGAGTGGTGTGGAGTGATATCGAGCGGCGTCGAGTGGTTTCAAGTGGTGTCGATGGGTGTCGAGTGGTATCAAGTGGTGTCGATGGGTGTCGAGTGGTATCAAGTGATGTTGACTTGTAACAAGTAGTGTCGAGTGTGCTGGTCATGTCGAGTGTGCGGTTTAACGATGGAAACATGCATGAATCGTGGTGTATCGAGCTAGAAAGAATTTGTTAGGTGCATCAAACGATAATGTAATGGACAAATTTATCTTTTTGAGCTCGTGAAACGTTATTATAATTTTCTATTAGATTGTAGATGAAAGTCGCAACTTAGTCAATTCTGCAAGTCAAACTTGAAACGTGCGGCAACTGAAAATGAAAAGCTGATTTATGATTCATATCCAAAGACATTGTTGAACTTGTGTGTAAATATGCATTCGATAGATGAGATGTTGCAAAGAGCTACACACTGCACCTTCAATTCAGTACAAATGCAATGGACCCTTTTGATGTTGCAAAGAGCTACACACTGCACCTTCAATTCAGTACAAATGCAATGGATCTTTTTGATGTTGCAAAGAGCTACACGCTGCACCTTCAATTCAGTACAAATGCAATGGATCCTTTTGCGTGGCACCCAACTAGAGTGGTTTTAGGCACCACGGTGCTTGTAGTCACTTGTAGCACTGGAATTAAGCTCAACATGTTGCCAAAGTCACTTGGATGTGCAACAAATGCATTATTTTTTCCTTAGCGGCATTCGAATAGCGGCGACATGTTTTACTGTTGTGTCCCGCTTGCGTGCACGACCGGCAATTGTACGTCGCTCCAGATTTTGATATCGTGTATACATCATTAAAGCTTTAAGTTAATCTCCCATATCTATTTATTTTTTATACAAACGTAATTTTTTAACAGAAATAAAATAGTATCTCCAATTTTTCCAATTTTTTGTAAATCTTAATACATCGTCCTATTTTAATACCACAATTATCGATTATTTTTAATTTAGTTTGAATTTAAATCCTAAATTTTTATTAAATTTTAAAAAAATATGATGAGAGTAGAATTTGAACCTACATCTTCAGATTATGAGCCTGATAAGTTAACCCGTTACTCTATCTCATCTTTGAATAAATTTTCGGAAGAAAAGGATTTGAACCTTTGATCTTCTGTTGTCAAAACAGAGGTATTAGCCAGACTATGCTACCTTCCGTTTAATATTTTTAATAATAATAATGATGGTAGAATTTGAACCTACAACAATAGGATTATGATTCCCATGCTCTACCATTAAACTACATTTGTATCCTCTGAGCTGCCAATACGTCTTTTTTGTCGACGCTCAGCTTGCTTGTAGTACGGTGGTAGGTAACTTAAAACTGAATGAAGTTGTGTGCTGACAATAACTTCAATAGTTTATCCCTCAAAGCCTTGCTTGAAGCTCTTCACAAGGTACGAAGGATAAAAAGCTGAAGTTACGTCGATCGTGGACCCAAAATTATGCAACACTGCAACGATGTGGCGGCAAGGCAACCCCTTCTGAATAAAGGTTGAACATGAACACTTTAGCGCTTCAGTCTCAACCCGCCAAAATTTTGCATAGCCTTGCTTTGAAGCGAATCATATCCCAGGAGCTGATCGTGATACTTCATAATTGCCCGCAGCCTTCTGGTCTTTTTTTTCATAGCGCTCGCGCACGAGGAGTCACTGTAAGCTCTTGAGCTTTCCATTTCACGATCTGATCTTGACGCATACTAAACTTGTCCATAGCCGTCTTTATCAGTATTCGTATTGCCTCCAGCGGTGGAGCATCACGAATACCATTGACGAGAATCGTGTTGTTATAACTCTCAACAAAATTGGTAGTGCGCCATCCAAAAAGTGGAAATGGTGTTATCGTTGGCATGTTGTTATCATGGAGGTGGTTTCTGGTGAGCCTGTCGGTTTCGTCTCTAGCAACATCACTCGAAAGCGTGCTTGCCTAATGATCAACAGCATGCATCGGCCTATTAGCAAAGACTGTCCAGTAATTTGAGTGGATATCTTTAATGTACGTGGCCGCATCGACTCCAAAATATGACTGAAATGCCGTGAGAGCTTTATTGTAGTCAACCTCTGTCTCTGCAGACTGAAGTTTCCACACTGCATTCTCAAACTCGCTTCCTGAACAGCCAAAGTTGCGCTTGACATTACGCAATATATGTATCGTACGGAAACAAATTCGAACGCTGTTAACCGTTCTTATCCACACTAGTTTAGCGGCTTCTTGCTTTATTCCACGATCACGCATGACAACGACACTCATGAAATTAATTCCAGCGTCAATACACTGAATAAAAAGCCACGCAATGTTGTCCTTGTGTTCCACGTGAACAAATGCGGTTGCAAGCTTGACGTTTTGTCCGTTACCGTCTCGTCCAATCAGGAAAAGTATTACGCCATTATACTTTCCGTGATGAGAATGGGTGTCATCAAAGCCAACCACCGGTGTATTGAAAGAGTGGCTGCGGACGGCAACTCCGAATGCCACAAAAATAAAAAAAATCGATCGTGTCGGTCTACGTCAAGTGACACTTTGCTGTCTGGATTGATGCGCCTCAACTCCACCAAGTGTGGGGCAAGGTGCGGGAAAGATGATTTCCATTCACCCTCCACGTCATTAACCACCGCATCTTTGCTCTACAAATCTCGTTCCGCTATTGCTGCAGATTAGTGCCATCACGAGCACGTACTAGCGCCACAATTGACTTACGCTTGACGTCCTTGTCACCTCGAACAGCGGCATCAAAAGCTGACAGTAGTTGAATTTGCCGGGATGATGTTTTGCTGATCGACATGCATACATCGGAGTGGCTGTCAATGAACGTAGAAGCAAAATACTCGAAATATCCACCAGTCCATTCTCGCTTCGTCACACGTACTTCCCACGGGCACCTAGCTTGTAAGCATGCATCTGTCTTTCTTCTATCACTACTCTTATTCACCTTGCACTGTCGATTTTGATTAAAATAGTAATTTATATGTACGCGGTTGCAGCAACGCCAGTTCGAAAGGTTTTATTATGGGTCAGGTCAGTAGTACGGTGATTAGCGTCAATTCCGATTGCTGCAGTCACTCGAGACATCTTAAAGACCTCTTTCAGTCCACTTTTTGCGCTTACTCTTCAACGCTCAAACTAAACATTCAAAATAAACAGTATGAGGTAGTGAACAAAACTTATATTTTAATGTTTAATGTTTTAAAGACCAGTACTAATTTCTGAATAAATATTACGCCTGTATTACACTTGCAGTTAATATTACGCCTTAGTCAGTCAAACAATTTCCTCGCACTGCAACACATCCACACGGAAATACAACAAAAATCGTTAAGCAGGACACTCGACACCACTTGAAACCACTCGACGCCGCTCGACGCCACTTGACATAACATGAAACCACTTGACATTACTGGATATTACTCCACACCACTCGACATCACTTGACATCACTCGACATCACTCGACACCACTTGACATCACTCGACATCACTCGACATCACTCGTCACGACTTAATACCACTCGAAACCACTTGACACCACTTGAAACGCACTGCAACAAATACACACAGACAAAGCATACGATCGTTAGACAGCACAGTCAACATCAACAGCGTGATTACCTCCTACCGCTGCTCATGAGAGGTGATATAACAACGGAGTCCCCCGGTCACGAGCTCGTCGGGTGCGTGCGACCGGGCCCTGACTCGCACGCAAAGTGCCCAACCCAAAATGGGCACATTGGCTCGTGGGCTAAACTTGAGAATTGAATGAACCGTTGGTAAAAATAGAGCGTTTTTCGACCACTCGCGACAGTTGCCTAAAAAATGGAAAGACTCATTAGTGATCAGGCAGTTTCTTATCCCATGTTGCAGTTGAGTATAATGTGGCTAACACTATGCTAGTTTGCATACTCAACCCAGGTATAAAATAGATGAATTTAGACTTAGAAAAACTATGGTCCTGGTTTTGGGACTTTTCGACATTTGGGGTCCTGATATTGAGATTTGATCACCCCGTTACACCCCCCCTTTAGCCAAGAATCACCCGTTAAATTGAATAGAATTTATTAGGAAAGGGTGACTGCCGTAGTCTGACTCTGGGAAAAGGAGCACTTGTTGATCAAGTTCCATTTATTTGCCAATCCAACGCATGGTTTCAAAACCCAAGCGAGTTGCTACTGCAGAAGCAAGAAAGGCGGCTGCACGCATGCGAGCAGCCGGAGAGAGTACTTCTCACACCTCAGTAGCAGGTGATTCGTCGCTTGCTGCTGTGAACAGTCCACGTGGTGAGTCACCACGTGCAACAAGTGCATCCGCTGCATCTGCAGCGGGTACCGCGAATCGTAATCAGGATGAGTCTGAAATAGAGCTCATCTATTCTGGCGAGTCGGATGATGTATCCGACTCGAAGGTGACTCCTCACGCCTCCGGATCACCCAAGGCAAACAATGCAAGAGCAAGCTTGACTGGCTCTGGTCAACGCGGCGGTATCATGTCCGAGATCTTCGGATCGAGCGATTATTCTGACTAATCTCCGCCTCATCCGAGTCCATTAAACGATAGGACGCGTGGGAATGGTGGTGATGCCCCTACGCATTATCACGAGAGAAGCAGCTCGAGAGATCGAGGTGTCACTGGTGTCAGTGATCACGCTGGCACCAATCAAAAAGTCAGAGACCGATATGTCCTGCGCCACGCTCCCCAAGTGGAGTCTCCGTGGATGCCGTCATCCAGAGAGTTGAACCGGTTGGCCGGCATGACTACCGATGGAGGTCGAATCCCGTTGTTTGATTGCAGGAAGATTTGCCCACCTGATTCCAGCACGGAAACTATTCGTGCTGAGGAAGAATTCTTCACCGATGCGTTCTTCAAACATCAGTGGTACAATGGCAGCCGTGTTTGGGAAGCTAAGGCCTTGGTGCAAGGATTTAATGCTCTCATCCTTAACATCGAGTGCATTGGCTGTGAGGCCTGGCTCGGTAAACTTGTTGCAGCTCGCATCAGGTTTGAGAAGCGCAACCCAGTCGGTGTGCGGTACAAGTTGCACCGGCTATCAAATAGAGGCAGTACTACCCTGTCTCTCGTGGGGTGATTCGTGTCCAGG